ACACCGGCAACATTTCAGCGATGCATGGACATTGTGCAAAGTCCTGTTCTAGAAAAGACCACACTTATATACTTACACGATATCATTATTACTATTGATAATTTGGATTAAAATATAAAAGATTTGAGAGAGATGTTTTCATTATTAAATGAGGCCGGTTTAAAAGTTAATGTTGAAAAGTATAAATTTGCACCTCCTGAATTAAAATACTTGGGATACAAAATATCTCAGAAAGGAATCGAGTCGGACGAATCAAAAATAATCGCTATTCAAAAGTATCTGCCGCCAAATACGGCGAAGAAGCGGTCTTCTTTTCTGTGACTTTCTTCATATTATAGGTCCTTTTTTGCAACTATTGCTGAACCATTGCTAAAATTAAAAGAAAGGCAAGATTCTCGTGGACGGCCGAAGCCAATAGTGCTTTCGAAAAATTCAAACAAGCATTAACGCAAGCCCCTGTGTTGAAATTCCTGAAAAGGATGAAATTTAGAAATTTCAGCGGATGCTTCGGATTATCGTTAGGAGCGGTACTTTCGCAAATCAGCAGCCAGTAGCATTTTTTAGCCGAACTTTAAATCAACACAAAGAAACTATTCCGCGACCGAGAGAGAGGCACTTGCAGTTCTGTTAGCAGTGCCAAAATTCCGAGCTATTTTGGAAAGGCGCCGATAACAGTATACTCTGATCTGCGGCGGTAACTAGATTGTACTCAGGAAAAATTTATCTCCAAGGTTAATAAGATGGTCACTCAAGCTGCAAGAAATATCTGTAATCAAGCATAGCCCCGGAAAGGAAAATATCGTAGCAGATGCCCTATCACGAATTAAATTAGACGAACAGGGTAATACCGTAAAAGTTGCGATGCTGACACGTGTACAATAAATTCCCGAGAAACTGTAATAACCGAACTGGGTAAGGATCCTGAGTTTGGAAGTATTTATGAGTATTTGAAGGATCCTGAAAATTTTTAGCCACCAAGATATGTGGCGATAAGAAATAGGGCGGCCATTACGAACTAATAGATGGTCTATTATTTTATACAAAAACTACGAATTCCAACAACGAATTTCGACCTGTTATCCCAGCTATTAAATTAAATTAGCTATTAGATTAAATTTACTTCAGGAGTTGACCGATTCGCCTTTGGCATCTCATGGTGGTATTGGAAAAACCATCCAACGCGTACGCGAGGCAGTCTACTTTCCTGAACTGCAAAAGTTAAAAGGCGTATGTCCAGTCGCCCCAACATGTCAAGCCGTAATTATATTAATTCCGCCCGGCCGAGTTTCTAAATAGTATTAAATCCGAATTTCAAATGAAATAATCGGCATCGATTTATTGGGCCCTTTCCCAAAAAGTCAGTTAAACAAAAGTCGCTATCTCCTTGTTTGGTGATCATTTTAGTAATGGACCGAAATTGTTCGCTTAAAACGAGCCTCCGCGAAATAGTACCGATTCTATTTTAAATAATATATTTTAAAATACGGGGCGCCCTAAAAGTTTATATCGGATAATGGTCCTCAATTTGTAAGTAATATATTTGAAGACATGTGCCAAAAAACTGGGCATACGTCTTTAAAATGGTCCCGTATCGGCCGCAATCAAATATAGCGGAACGGGTCAAAGAAATATAGTGAAAATTATCCGTAGTTATGTTAAAAATTTTCATAAGAGCTGGATACTATGTCAATAATTGCTTTCGCCCTTAGGACGCAAAACATGATACAACGGGAAAAACTCCTGCTGAGTTCTTTCTAGCTAGAAAGATTATAACACCGTAGATAAATTATTTTATGTGCAACAAAGAGCCCAGAATTTAAAATGGATGATATAGAAAAACTAATTAAGGAGGCAAAGAAGAATACTGAAGTAGCACAGAGAAAACAAAATTGTATTATGACTTGAAACGAGGGGAGTACTTTAAAGTAGGGGATGAAGACTAAAATTAAGCATTCACTTTCTTCAGCACCAGAAGATAAAAACTGCCAAATTTTTCCACGATTTGAAGGACCATATGTTATAGAAAAATAAAACTCACGCTGTTGTAGTGTTAAAGCCAGAATGGTGAAACTGTTCCGCAAAATTGATCAATTAAGCCTACTTGGATGTAATAAAATGCAAATCTTTTCAGATCTTTTGCAGGATCGCACGGCAGACAGCAGGTACAAGTTTCCAGAGGTGGAAAACGACAAGTACAAGGGCAAGCCAATGAGAGACAGAAGCAAGTGAAAAGAAAATTGCCCTGCGGAAAATTGAAGGTAAAAAGAAAAGAAAGCCGTTCCACCGTCCAGAAAAACAGAGTTCACAACACCCCCAGAATGAAGAAGGGAGAAGACGACGTATGTGAAGAGGACCAGGAGAAATGACGGCAACTATAACCCGGCTTTAAACGGAGATCGACTCATCCGACAGACTCTCCGCAGCAAAAATCGCCGAACTGCAGAAGGGCCATCAGCGGCGGAGGAAAAAGAAAAATTTGAACGGCCACAACGAGGTCCAAGCAGGATCACGAACAGAAGTTTCCGGTTCCACCAGACCAGCTGCCTTCAAACGGCCAAGACCACAAGCAGAGGACAAAAGGAAGGTGTTCAAGGGTGGCCGTACTGTGAAAAACGGAAGCTTCCAGAGGAAAGCACTGAAGGGCGAGCCCGTACAAGAAGGAGGATCAACCAAGCTACTATCTGACACCTTTAGACTGGGCCCAGAAAAGGATGTCCGAATATTACAAAGATAAGTAAATTTATGTTACTTTGCAAACTTAAGTAATCTTTCATTCTTACTGCAGTGGCAGATTTCAAGAAGTTTTACCTCATGCGAGGTCTACCTTATCGCCAAAAGGGCGAGAAATGAGTTGTGCGATTTTCTTATTATGTTTTCATTACTCGCGCGTAAACTAAAGTGATGTATAATAGCGTTGTGTAAAGACTTAAATATTGTAAAAGTATTCTATAAATTTTATTTAAAACTTCTAGCAAGAAAGAAGTTTTAGTCTGAAAGACTTTTTGAAATGTAGTATTATTTCAATGTAGAAAGAGTTGGCACTTGCTTTGAAAAAATAGAAGTTAACAATGTACTACTAATGTATGATTTCAAATGTGTAAAAATTAACGGCAGGTTGATATGTTCTTATATACATGTGAACTGTTATTTTAAATGTTAAGAAATACCGTGATATGGTAAAAGTGAAAGTAATGTTAAAATTTGTTATTCGTGTGACTGTAAAGATTAAAATCATGACGAAATGTGGTAAAGGTTGAATGATGTAGTTAGGCTTCGACGCTACACTTTTAGAGTTAGCACTTTAGAATAGTACCTCGGGTTTAGAGTTGAAAGTAGGTGGGTTAAGAGGTCTCGTTATGTTGAATTTTAACACGTAGTGTTTGATTGTAGGAGGAAGTGTGCACACGTAGACAGAACACATTCGTTTTGGTGTTCTTTACAACACATGTAGAGCATGGGGAGAGATAATTAAAATAGTCATGAAGAAATAAGATGTTAAGAGAAGTATATCTAATGTTATTTGCAATGTCTGTGTAACATTTCATTAACTATTTTTCCTTCCAGATCTCTGGAGGAACCAAATTGAATAAAGCTCCTGTTTAGATGCAGTACAGATGAAAAAAAAAAAAAAAAAAGATTTTGTAGATCCTGGGAGCTGCTATTGTAACAAATTTTTTTAAATTTTCTAGTTTCTAACGAAGTTATGTTGTAAAAGGTGGCCTCGCGTATATCTAGAGCTAAAAGTTTTCAACAAGGTGTTTTAGACCTCAGTTTCAAACTAATAACTCTGGGGGAAGTATGTAAGGATCTTAAGTTTTACTACGTTTATTTATTTTAAATCTTTACTATCACTTCTTATTTCTACTTCCGGCCAGAATTAAGCGTGAAGGATTTTATGCAAAGTTTTGTCTGGCGAACGCCAAGTATTAAGTGTGGCCTTTTTGCCAAGCGAAAGAGAGGAAGCAGTGAGTTCGAAGCAGCCGCTTACCTTAGAAGTACGCAGTTGCTATTTGCCTTCCAGGCCAGAGGTTTTTTAATCCTCTTGATAATTAAACGTATTGTAGTGTTACAGTCTCTGTGCTACATACGCTTCCTTTACTATAAGGCCAATCTTACACGTGTATTATTTAAAGTAAATAGAGTTTAGTTTTATTTTGATATCTTTTACGTTAGACCCCGAGTGGAGGGTCATTGTATTCCGAAGTACGGAAGTCATTGTATATAAAGAAAAATAAAGGGTTTTGTATACCCTTCGTCTGTATCCTGTCTACTTACTACAATTAGTGAACATAGCTTTAGTAAGCTCTGTGTTCTAGTCAGGTCATTGTATGTTTCCGAAGAAGGTTAGAAGAAACATTGAACCTGATACTTCTTCACTCTGTATTTCAGACAAAATTGAGGACGAAAGGCGAGACGCTATAGTAGCAGCAAGTAATTCTAATCTCGCGATAGTAGTTTCTTCTTTTCCAGTTGGTGTAACTCTACTCCTGGCTTGTATCAGTTGTACTTTAGTAGAATCAAAAGTTTTTATACGAATGAAAGCATCCACGGCATAAGCATGCTTACTGGCATCACAGAAAATATGTACTGAAGTATTTTCACTCATACTCCTTGAACCAAAATATCTTGGAAAATGGATCTTTTCCAGATAGTCAATATCTTTCAACCATTTTAAAATGTAGTTCTCGTACAGGTATCAACTTCTTCATCCCGTGTTATCTTCTGCTTCAAGTTTCTTGAAGTAATAACTTAGGGATAAGGATAACAGGACAACATATACCAAGAGGATCAAACAATCTATGAGCTGTAGATAACATTAAGCGCTTAGTCACTTTTTCAAAACATAACTCTTTTATACTACCAGTATTTATTCTTAGAGTGTCAGATTTTTTATTCCATATTAAACCGAGCACAATTTGTATCAGCAAAGCATCATCATTAATAGCATTGAACTCCCACACTCTACTCTCAGCTCAATCAAATTTTCTCTGACACAATTGTCAACATAAAACTTCGTACCTTTCGTATAAGGATTCACCGGTTTCTATTTTCTCTAAAACAGTTTGTAAGTGAAGCTGAATAGTAGAGTTTAGAAGAAAAGGGCTACTTGCTACACCAAAAACTACACGGCAGTGCCTGTACACTTTCAGTTGGCCATCACTATCAAGCCATAAGAACCGCAAAAAGTCTCTATCAGTACGTGAAACACTTATTTGAAGAAAGGCTCTTCGTATATCAGCAATAACACCAATCTTTTCTTTTAGAAAGCGTGTTAAAATACTCGGAAGCTGTTCTATTAGATTTGGGCCTTTTTCTAAGCAGTCATTAAGACTAGGAAATCCCTTTACTTTGGCCGAAGCATCAAATACCGGTCGGAGTTTTGTAGTGCTATTCTTTTTGATAACTTCTCGATGAGGAAGGTAAAGAACTTGCCCTTGATAATTTTTATCAGCCTCTTCAAGTACTCCCTCTTCTAGCCATTCCTTGAAAACATCTCCATAAGCTTCATAATTGGACTCGATTTTAAGACGTTTAACAGTTTTGTTCAGTCTTCTCTCGGCTAAGTCAAAATAGTCTGTTAGTGGTGGATGATATTCCAACCAGGGCAAATCAACCTCGAAACGATCATCGACTATACGAACTGTATTTAGAAAATGCAACCGAGCAGCTTCTTGTAGTTCAGTCTGGTTTTTCTTGATTGATGGGTCAGTGATCCCAAGTGTGTCCAAAGTCCATAGATCTGTTATCGTCTCCACAGTAGATAACAAGGATGTAACTAAGAACGATGATGAAAACTCACTTTTCGAAGTATTCGGCATTCGCCCCATAACTGACCATCCAAATTTGGTCTCAATAGCTACGAGACCACAAGGCAACTCACGACGATCACCTGTGATGAGTTTTCCAGCTACATCAGCCCCAATAAGAATCTCAATAGGATTTTAACAATCATCCACAATATTTATATTACAGGCTGCTAACTCTCTCAGACAAAGCTTGTTGACAGTTGGTGGCACTGACTTACAAATAATTTGTTGACTAAGAACTTTAAAGTTGCAATTATAATTTCCATGCACACTCGATAAATATAAAGTGTATACATCATGCTTGCATATCCCTGAGTCCTTCCCTCCAAATAAAGAGTGTTGTAAATATTCACAACTCTGAGGTTCATAGTTCATTTCTTTAGCTGTACGTCTTAATAAATATGATCGCTGTGAAGCAGTATCAATAACAGCTCTTGCGACGCGTTTTTTCCCATTACTTCTAATTATAACTTTGAATGTTTGAAGCATTACGTTCGGAGTAGAAGATAAATTTGAAAGAGCTTGATCCACTTCAGCACTAATCTCAGTTTTCTTTTCAACTTCAGGTGATCTTCGTTTTTTGACATAGTTATTTGGTGCATCTTTCTACACAGAAGAATATGGTGTTTTTTACCACAACACAAGCAATCAGCTTTCAAGTTACAATCCTTGACTGAATGTCCAGATTTCAAACATAAAAAACACTTGTGAGATTGTTGAACCAGTGACTCCCTCTGCCTTAAAGGTATTTTTTTTACTTTTAGACAGTCTCCAGAAAAATGTGAATTAGAACAGAATATGCACTGTTTTGATACTTGAGATGAAGTTAGAAGATCTGTTGCACTAGGTATATTTGAAAACTTTCCACTCTCAAATTTTAATTTTCTACTCTTACATTTGTTCTATATTTTACACTTTTTTCTCATTAGGAAAAATTATGTTTTACTTTCCACTTTTGAGTTTGAAGTGTTGAAACTTTCGAGTGAGGCTAGAAAATGTGTGTTCTTCAGCTTCAACTTCATCTTGTAAAAATTCTAAAATACATTCTAAATCACTTTTCTCAATTATAGTTTTACTTTCGCTTCTGAATCATCTGGAACTCAACGATTCAGAACTTCTCGAATTCTACGATGAGCAGATCTATAGCGCTAGCGCTGCCAAGCAACAAGAGTTTCTTCGGGTAATGATAATTCAACTAGCAGGAAAAAGCATTGGCAGCATATTTTTCCCCTAGTAACACCTAATAATTCAAGGTGATCGGCAGTTTACTTTCAAAGTTGATTGAACAATTTTCTTAATGAATGTTTAGAAGTGTTCTGTTTTTGAAGAACTAATACTAATAAGTCTCTGACATATACCTGAATCAATAGTTCATCTCTGCCGAAACGCATTTTCAGCTGTTTTAAAGCTTTTTCGTAACTATTAGCCCCTGGGGGATAGTTAATTAATTCTTCAGCAGGACTGCCTTTTTCCATTGCTTGAGATAAATACGAAAATTTATCGTGAAAATCGATATTAATGTCCTCATCAATTTTTTTGAAACTGACCTTAAAAGTATAGCCAATTTCTTACACTACCGTCAAAAGTAGGTAATTTTATTTTTGGGTAACGTAATAAAGTGTTCGGCTGCGAAACAATGTTCAAATTTTCATTTTTAGAAGATAATTGTTCACACACTAGTGTTTCTAGCTTCTGTTTTAAAGATCTCCATCCATCAATATACATTTCTGACTCATCTATCGCTTTCTCTATTTCGGTATCGGAAGTATTTTCAGAATACAACAAATGTTTATATTTCTCTTCACATGCTATCATTAATGGCTAAATTGCAGAATAGGCTGCATCAGTCGATGCTGTGTTTACTTCTCTTATGCTTGGACACGCCTTTTTATGACGTAATATTGGTTACGCCTCTTCTTCAAAACAAGTTATAAGTATGCTATAGCTTCGTATTTAAAGAAAACTTATATTATATTTTAACTGAGTTGAAATAGTAGGTTTATAATGTTCTGTGCGAGATTTTTTAAATTGTAAATCTACTTTTGTGTGTTGTGTGGTATTGTTAGCATTTAGCGCAACGAATTATCTCTCACAAATGTATTATTAAGATACCAAACGATTGAAAACGATCATTAGCAAACGATTGAAAATATTGAATGCATGAATTAAAAATTATAACCGTAACTTCTGAAAATACAGAAAAGAATTCTTTTGCTTAAAGAAGGATTGGTGTGATCACCGAGGCAAGCGGCAGCACGATAGCTGCGCTCCGTTAAAAAGTGAAAATTTTTCCTTTCCTCTTGGTGATTATCAATTAAATTTCTTTGAAAAATGTTTATTTTTCCCCTACAAAACCTATATCATTCCAATGAATTTCGGCTCCGATGTTGACGAGAATAAAACAGCGGACAATGTAAGGATATACTCCAAAAGCCTGGAATTCTAAGATAAGTACTTTTCTTTCATCTAAACTAAATCAAATTTCTATAAATTAAGTGCCTTTAAATCAATAAAATCTTAATTTTTCATTCAGTTTAAAGCATTAAAAAATACTTGAAATTGCTCATTGCTTGTGGCTTCCTTTGTGTATCAACTTCGAAACGGACGCCAAGCGTTATCAGTTCACGTCTGTCAACACTTACAAAGTCCTTAAAGGAATCTCGAGAGAGGGAAAATTTGGGGATGAGAGGGAATAATTTGGGCATCGCGCTATTTCCCTCTCGGATCTTCTGGATTCTCTTTTCTTTTTAGATCGCTTGAATATAGTTTCGCCTTTAAATAATATTATACCTCACCGATTTTTTCTCATACTGTTCTTTGCTGTCTGTTAAATGTCCATATGTAAGGGATGGTTTATTCTTCACCGCCTTAAATGAATTTTTAGAACTATGAGCTTATATAAATAACAGTGTGCCTCATTGTGTTATATTAACATTATTTAACTAGTAATAAATTATGATAGTAAAATAATTAATCTTGTAATAAATTATGATAGTTAAATTAATAAATACTGTTTAATTTGTGTTTTTAATACATATACTCAGTAATTTACACACATAAATATATATACATATTTTATTTATTTATTTATTTATTTTTTTGGGTGTATGCGGTTGTGGTCTTGTATTGTATATGGTTCTATGTTGTTAGTCTGCTGCTGCTTTTTGAAAAATGTATGAAAATGTTGAGAATGAAAGTAGCATAAGTTACTTTGGTTAAATTAATATATACTTTTGTTTGATGACCTTTGTTGATATCTCAGGATGCAAGCGTACATATTACTTTATATTCCATGCTAAATACCTTGATACGAAGCATTTTAGCACCGTCAATATTTGTTTTTTCCCCAGTAACACATCTATTCACCATTACCAAACACACTCACTACACAAACACACCTGTGAGACACTATTTATTGTAAATGAAGACAGTTTCTTCTCCTTTTAACTACACTCATGGACACAATCGTATTTTAGGATATTTTCTACTTCTTTTCCTTTTCTTTCTATAGGCCCCCTTTTTTTTTTTTTTTTTTTTTTTCTTTTCCCTCTATTATTTTTGGGCCATTTATTTTAAATTTTATTTTGTCCCATCTTTTCTTCCTGGCCTTTTGAACTCGTACAAGATGTACGAAGTTCCTTTTTACTCTCCTCAAATACGAAATTGCCCCTCTTTCTATATACCTTTCCTTCGCACCTATGCTTGATTTTTCGCCCATCGGTGCAGAAAGACTTAGCGGGTGCAAAACAAGACATCTGTCTACTTTGTCTGTCTGTCTGTCTTTTTTTGCTTAAAGAATGTTTTGATTATTCATGAGTGTGTTTAATTCGGTGCTTACTGCAGAATGGATGAGTATTTGAATCTGGATTTCTTTTATCAGTTGGAGCGAAGAGATAAAAAATGCGTTATTGAGTAGTGTATGGAGAAACGTTTGATTGCAAGATCGTATAAATGCCCCCCCCAAAAAAAAAGTAAATATAAATTTGTGAAACTGATATGAAACTAGTAGAGCGAAAGAACTGTATTTTGAGTGGATGTGTAGAGTTATTGAAGGCGAATGTAGGCATCGAATTTCAAGATCAATTCGAAAGAACTCCTGGTTTGCGAAGAGTAAATTGAGCATGTGTGATGTTTTGCGAGTTACCTATATGTGGTTGGGTAAGTGCGGGAATGATTTTATACGAACGGAATTACGTATTGCTAAAAATACGGTGACAGATTGGAAAAGTTTTTGTAGAGAAGTATGCATGGAGTTATGTTTGAAGGAGAATGTTAAGTTGGGTGGGGAAGGTGTCATTGTCGAAATCGACGAAAGCAAGTTTAGCAAGCAAAAGTATCATAGAGGTAAAAGAGTTGAAGGAAAATGGGTTTTTGGTTTGGCTGAGAGAGGAACAGATAAATGCGTCTTTAGAGTTGTTGAAAACAGAGGTGCCGAAACATTGCTAGGAAATCATTAAAGAGAATGTTCTACCAGGATCGATTATTATATCCGATTGTTGGAAAGCGTACGACTGTCTCGAGTTCGAAAGGGTATGCGCACCTGAAAAGTCAATCATAGCTTGAGTTTTAAAAGATCCAGAAATGTGGTGCGCAATGCCGAGTTTGTGCAATTCTGGGATGTTTTTTTAAGTGAAAATAGGTTGATGTGCACATGGGCAAAGCCAATGTGGTGCGCTATGCCAAATTTGTGCAATTCTGGGATGTTTTTTAAGTGAAAATAGATCGATGTGCACATGGGCAAAGCCATGTGGTGCGCAATGCAGAGTTTGTGCAACTCTGGGATGTTTTTTTAAGTGAAAATAGATCGATGTGCACATGGGCAAAGCCAATGTGGTGTGCAATGCCGAGTTTGTGCAATTCTGGGATGTTTTTTTAAGTGAAAATAGGTTGATGTGCACATGGGCAAAGCCAATGTGGTGCGCTATGCCATATTTGTGCAATTCTGGGATGTTTTTTAAGTGAAAATAGATCGATGTGCACATGGGCAAAGCCATGTGGTGCGCAATGCCGAGTTTGTGCAA